TCTTCTCATAACTTTTTCCTTAACCCCTCTCATAAATAATATAATTTATGTGGATAAAGTATATCCTTTATGATAAACAACGAAGTTTAATAATTTAAAGGGTGCAAATCTGTCAAATGGAGACGCACACATTGATAATGTCTCCTGATTATTATTAAAGAATAACTCTATGTAACGACCTATTTAGTCGTTTTGAGCAGCAGATTTTATTTCTAGAAAAACAGGCTGAGACGACGGAACCCACGACGGAACGTCATGGGCACGACGGACCGTCGAGGGTGTCTCGTCCCAAAACACTTAGAAATTCTGAAATTTGGGTGCTGAAATCGACTCTCTGAACTTTGTAACGAAATGGCAGGACAGACCGTCACAGACCCTTGGTGGAAATTTGGGTCTCTGAACTTTGCGACGACCTGCAGGACGGACCGTCGCAGGCACGACGGCCCGTCACAGGTTGCGCAATCCCAGTCCGGGTCGGATTTCTTGATACGTTTTAAGGGACGTTTTGACTATTCTTGCCTTAATTATAAAGTTAGTGGGTTAATGTTAATAAGTCTAATTACTTGGGGGTTAAAAGAGGTATTCCTTAAGTTAATTAGTGGGGCATTATTGCCATCTTTTATCCTTAATTATATACTAATTAGGGTAAAAGAAAGAGGGTTTGAATAAAGAAAATAGAAAGAACAAGAGAAAGAGAGAGAAAGTTGAACGAGAAAGAGGAGAGACGAAGAGGACACAAAGCTTTGGGAATTTGCTTGCTTGATTTCTAATCTTCGGTGGAGGTAGGTTATGGTTTTCATGCTATTCGTAGTAAACTCTTAATAGCGAATGATATGTGTTAGTAGTATTGTAAACCTTCTATATGCTTAATTGTATGCTTGCATGAATGATGTGATTATGTAATTGTGAATAAATAAGCATGATGAAGCTATTGAATCCCAAATCTTGAAAAGAAACCCTAATCTACTTTGTTAATGATGATGCCTTGGTATAAAAGAAGGCTTGATGAACGAAAGTGGTGAGATTAGGGGATCGGGTGCCACGTTCCGACACCAGGATATTATATGGATCGGGTGCCACGTTCCTGTACCAGGATAGTATATGAGGATCGGAGTGTCACGTTCCGACACCAGGATAGTATATGGATCGGGTGCCACGTTCCGGTACCAGGATAGTATATGAGGATCGGAGTGTCACGTTCCGACACCAGGATAGTATATGGATCGGGTGCCACGTTATGGTACCAGGATAGAATATGGATCGGGTGTCACGTTCCGACACCAGGATAGTATATTGAGGAGCGGAGTGTCACGTACCGACATGAGGGGAATAAAGATAATGAGTCTTGAAAGATAATAATATATTCAAATCTAATGAACCTAATTCCCAAATGAGTATGATGAGGAGGCGTGAGTCCTCATTGATGTGCTTGGTGTTGTAACCAAGGGTTATGGTAACTATAAATACTGCATGCTAAGGATATTAGTTGATTTTATGATATTATCTGATATATATTGTTTTCTATTTTGAGTTGGCCGATGATATCTACTCAGTACCCGTGTTTTGTACTGACCCCTACTTTTATGTTTTCTTCTTGTTTATTTGTGGAGTGCAGCAAATGTGCTGTCACCTTCGACTCAACAGTAATTCAAGCCAGTCTTACTACACCGAAAATTCAGGGTGAGCTAATGCTTCTAGCTTGGACTGGATCTTCTTCTTCAAGTCTTGATGCCTTGAACTTCCGGCATGGACTAGTTTCTTATGTATTTTTAGCTTTTAGAATACTCTTAGTTTAGTCATTTGATCGTAGATGTTCTTGTGGTGATGACTTCCAGATTTTGGGGATAATAATAGTTATTGATTTTATTAATGAGTTTAAGTCTTCCGCATTACTTTATATTGATATTATATTGAAATGTTAAGGTTTAGATTGGTTGGTTCGCTCACATAGGAGGGTAAGTGTGGGTGCCAGTCGCGGCCCGGATTTGGGTCGTGGACACTCTAGCTTCACAAATTTTAATTCATTGAAACTTAATTACGTGATAAGAACTTTAGTTGTTCTTTATACATGGTTTGCTAACTTTAATTATTTTTTTTATATTCTTCATTTATTTATTGTTATTTTCTAATTACTTATTCAACTTTTATACTCTTTATATCAATAACTCTTATCTTTTAATATTCATAACCTCCAAATATATATTCAACTTCTTTATCTCGTGGAACCCCTATCAAGATTATTAGGCTATTATTTTTATCATATAGTTAAAGTAAATGAAGAAGACTCTAGAATTTTGATAGGATATGGAAGGAGTCGATAAGAACTCAGAGAGTTATGTACTAATTTTGTACTTATTTTTTCATCTATATATACATCAGTCTTATAAGAATAATATTTACATTGTAATTTTTCTTAAATTTATTTTTTTGTATTTTTTTCTCTATTAGATTTCTTAATTTAGTTATCTATGAATTTTTTATTGTCATAAGTCTTTATTCTTATTTTGAAATTATTACATTTTATTATTCATTACAATGTATATATATATTTTTATAAAATTTTAGTCATTCTAATGTATCTATAAAAATTCACATGACAGGAATAAATCGCATTTCTTGATGGAATGAAGCAAAACTTATATAATGACCTGTCAGTATATATATAGAGAGACAGAGTCAATTTTCCTCTTTGCATTATAATATGGATTGCACACAACTTTTATTTTATTTTATTTTATTTTTTAAAAAAAAGAAAGATAAAATTGAAGAAAATAGTATCAACAGATTGGAATAAAAATGTAAAATTGTAATAAGAGGAAGATAAGAAAAAATCAATAGAAGATATTTACCTAACCATAATTAAGGAAGTATGTTGACTAAAAGAAGAGTAATGCAAAATCGTTAGCTGATATATGGAGGAAATGGACAAATATAAAAATTTCTGCTGAATAATGAAGAGACAACTCTTTGCTGAATAATGAAGAGACAACTCTTCAATTTCTGCAAAATTTAATAACTACGAGCTCAAGGTAATATAAATGTTTTAATTTAATAAATGACATAGATAAATAGCATACATTGTATGTATATGTAGTTAATGGGGTAGTGAAAAAGACTCTTTCTGAAATTATTTTTATTTCTTTAAAGTATTTTTGAACTTATAATATTAGTGTTACAGAAAATCATATAAAAATCATAAGCTATTGCAAGGTTTTATAGTAATTAATTTATTAAATTATATACTAATTATTTATAATCATTACTGAAATGTATAAACTAATTTTGGAAGGCTTGTAAAATGAGAAATCATTATTTCTTATCATTGTATTAGCTATTATTAACATTTAGTATGTCAACATTTTAAAAATCAGTCTCCTTTAAATATTAATTGTTTCCTAAATTAATGTAACCAAGAACTTAAAATGTTTTTGACGTTTTATTTATCTAAACACGCAAAATTTATTTTTGAACGTGAAACATGTTCATAATTAAGCCTTGGATGAGTTATAATTTTATCATTGTGTGATTAAAATATTGTATTAAATTAAATAATTAATTAAATTTTAATATAGTATATGGGGCAAGATGATAATTTAACTTTTTACATTGGAGTTTCCCACTTGTATTAATACTAGATCTGGGAATATACGTTCCACATTTATCCCTTAATACTTCATATAAAATTTTGTATATATATATTTATATTATATATATTATGTTTGGTGTTTTATGTTGGTGGTACTATAATAATTTATCATTTAAATTGTGTAGTTCATTCAACTAAGTTAGTATAGAAGACACAAAAGATGGATAAAGATTTGTCTAATTTAAATTTAATATGAAATTTTGAATGATAAAAAAAAAATTAATTTAAGGATATGCATAATATATAAAAATGTCTTTTTACTTTGTGATCTTAAATATACACCCCCAACAACTAAGAGAAAAGAACATTCATATTAAATTGAACATAAATATATGTATAACAAATAAATTGGAAATGGATGAGTACTTATCCATTCTAGTTTAGCCACTTCAAACAAGTTTTTGATTAAATTGTGTTTCTTCAACAGTTTGAGATTTTTCACAACTTGATCACCAAGTTGTAACTTGTGCAATAGAAAATAATTGAACTTCTTGTCAAGTAGAAGTTGCAAAAATATATTTATGGTAATGAAAATAAGTACATATTTGCACTCTTCAAACAAGTGTTTGATCAAATCCTTTTTCTCCAACAATTTGACACTTTTCACAACTTGAACACCAAGTTGTAGTTTGTGCAACAAAAAGTAATTTAATTCTTGTCAAGTTGAAATAGTTGCAAAATTATATTTACGGCTATAGAAATGAGTACATATTAATTATCTAGATAGTCTTCTTGTTAGAAGTTGAACTATTTCATCTCCTTGTTGCATCAATTTTTGTTCAACTATTTAATTTTGCCGCATAAAATGTTGTAATTGCATAATTGAGCTACTATTACAATCTTTCTTGTGTAAAGACTAAAACTAGAAAACGTACAAAATTCAAAGTGAGAAAAAGCTTCATATTTATAGACAACAAAGGATAGTACGAAAAAGTGGTTATTATGCCTTATCAGATAGATCACAATTCTTCAAAAAAGTCATAACTCATCAAAAATGTAATAACTCGTCGTAAAAGTCATAACTCTATCAAAAAGCTACAACCCTTTAGAAAAGTCACTACCCGTTAATATTAAAAGGTGTCGGCTTTTAATATGATATAGAACAAATAAATAAATATAATATAAAAATACAACATATTTACTAAAAGGGGCGTTTAAGTTGGGGATATTATAGTAATTTAACATTCAAATTAGAGAGTTCATACTTTTAAAGTGTGTGTGTATATATATATATATATAGACTTCAACTGACATACTATATGCTAGAAAAAATTGTTTTTGATAGTTAATATTGGAAACAAAAATTGTACTATATCAAAAGAAAAATTATTGATATAGAAAGAAAGAACAAAAGTAAAAAAAGCCGGTACGTAAATTAGATTATGGAAAAAAAAACGTTGGATAAGGTAATTAATCAACTACTTATGTGTATTTTAAGATTTTTCCAAAAAGAGAAGTTGAAAGCACAGATACTCAACTGATCCAAATAAGTTAGTGACGAATTGATTTACAAAGAATGATGATAGCAGCAAGTAAGCAGAGGTAGCTAATAGATTCTCTCGGCTGTGGAAACTGGACGCAAGAAAATAACAATAACAGTTATGTTGTCTTTGCTCCCTCTTTCCGCAGCTTCTGTCGCTAACCTCTTTGAACACATTCCTGCTTCTTTCACTGTGTCTCTGATTATGTTCACTACATCTTTCTCACTAACAACATCCCAAAGCCCATCACTTGCCATTACCTGATAAAGCAAATAAACATGCATCACTATATACATACCATCATTTTAAATTCAAACAAAACAAGCATCAGAACTGTAATATCATAACTTGTATCACTATATACATATTGTCAACTACTGGAGCAATTAATTGACAGTTGTTGATAATAACATTGGTACAGACACATTATTAAGTCAAGATTAGAAGCAAAATAGCGATGAGAATGTCCTAATATACACAGAAACCACGAGAAGAGGAAAATAAAGAAAAAACAAAGGGGATTCACGAGATAATAGTGCGCTCTTTCTATACACAAGGGGCTGCAGTTACATATCTCTCACCAGGGACCCTAATCTCCTATTTTGCTCCTTCAGAATCACTGCATCCACAACTGGCTGATAAATGATCTATTAAGTTATCTGGAGATAGAAAACTAGAAAGCTAGAAAACACTTGACCAAAAACCTTTTGGCTTAATTGGTGGCAAATTCCACATACCAAAGATACTTAAGGGTAAAATGTTTTAATGATATGCAACTTCAATTTAACTGGATGGTAATGCCCAAAGACGAGCACAATGAACTCATACGATTAGGTAACTCTAAATTGGAACAAGAATTCAAAGGTTTGGCTTTTGGACTTTCTTAACTAATAACAACTATGCATGCCTTACTATGAATGCCTTGAAATGACCTTGTGAGAGCCCTTCAAAAATCTAATGCAGTTTACAAATTCCAATATCAGCATTAGACTTTCACATCCCTACTCTACTTCTTTTCCCCACCCAAAATATTCACGCTACCAGTTAAATTAATATCCAATCCACTATTAAAAACAGAGGAGAAAGGGAAGAAAACAAAAACAGAAGTACCCATACATTTCAAAGTCAAAGTAATAAGAGTGGATGCAAAGAGGAAGCAACAACAGTCAAGGAAACATAGGGCCTCAAACAAACAAATTATATTAGTAACAGAACGGAGTCCATGTCCTTAGCTGTATGTTATTTGTCATTATCTTTAATGGAAGTAGAAAAACAGACCCTTATGTGGGGACTGATTGTGCAACAACGCAGTATGTGCTTGCAAATAACTTGTTTTAATAGAATCAGAGATAAGAAGGTAAATCCGATCTGAGAATCAACTTATTGGTCTGGAAGTGGGTAAAATGTGGTCACATATAAACATATATTCACTACTAGGATTTGATAACAATTAGTACACTGAAATATCACGGAATGAAATTTTGTTGTTGTAATCCGTACAATGTATTCATCCTCGGCAGAAAGAGTAGTCGAAGTTATCTCAGGTTCTGCAGTTACAGCTGGCTTCAGATCATCATCGCCAATAGACCTTGTGACCTAGGGAAAGCAAATACAATCAGATTACTAAATGATAATACAATATCTATATTTTGGAAGATCCTATAATTTATTTTTTTTTTGATGAAAAGGGAAACCCACAGCCGCTACCCTTTGGGTGCGCACAGGGTAAAATCCCCGCTCCTACGTAATACCTCGCAAACCACATAGGAGAGGTAACCCGCACCAGGCAAGCCTGGTGCGACGAGCTTGACCCAGAAGGCAAACCCCTTGCTTTCGCTGGCCTGCCTTAATAACCAACTGTTAAAATAATGTATTCTGCCAAATACAAATCCAATGCTATTTGCTGCTAGTCTAGAGGTGTCGACCACCCCCACATATCATTTTGGAATGTCAAATATTTTCCATACTTGTATAACACAAGTCATTAACTTATCATTCGCCATACAATACATGAAGGAGTCAAGGAAGTACATACAATGACCACTTATTTTGATATTTATACATTTATAACTTGTATAACAACTTGATCATTGAGCTTCATGGTATCTAAACTTTTTATAACTGCTAATGAATTAATATAATGCAGACACCACTTTCCCTTACTAAGGATTGGATAATGTGATATATATACACTTTCCCTTGCTAAAAGTATTGGATAATGTGTATACATGGGCGGACCCACCTTATATCAAGGGGGGTCAGCCGACACAGCTTCGATGAAATTTTTTAGTATTTATATATATACATAAATCTGAAAAAATAAAAACACAAGTATAAATATTATATATGACACTCCTTAAACAAGGAAGTATCGTGGCACGTTTGGTTCACACTGAGTGAAGTAGTCATGTCTCTCAACGCACCCGGGTTTGAATCCCAGTAAGCTTGTTTTTTGCTTCAATTTTTGAGCGTCTTTCAGAGAAAAGTTTAACCCTATTCCTACTCAAATTAGGCTAAAATAACCCAATTGAACTAAAATACTACATATAACCTATTATAATTTTTTTTACTTATTCAAATCAGAATTGGATACAATAATAAGACATAAAGTAAAACATTTCCTACTCAAATTAGGTAAAATAACTCAGTTGAGGTAAAATACTACATATAACCTTATAAAAAAAAATTTACTTATTCAAATCAGAATTGGATACAATAACAAGTGATAAAGTAAAATCTAAGTTGAAAACAAACCTTCAAGTGTTGTTGCAGTCTGCGTTGATAGCTTGATGCTACTGTGGTTTTTTCTTTAATTTTAAGTTCTCTTTTCTTTTATCTCCCATCTTTTTAGTTTTAATTGAAATTTCTTAAAATATCAATGTTTATAAATTTAATTTCTTGAAACTGTTTAGAGTTATCAAAATTATTTAAATTTGCAATTCAAACCAAATCAATGGAGAGATCATTCTAAAGTATCTCGCGATCTTTCAAAATCAAGTTCAACACCTCAAAATTCTTTTAAATTAGAAGAAGAAAACGGTGATGAGTTGGAACAAGGTCGACAAAGTGAAAAGAGTCAATATAAATTCCTTAAAATTTGATCCTGGAGAAAGATTAACAATTCGAAAATATCATCCGAATGAGCATGATGCAATAAGAAGAATGTATCTTCAAAATGGTCCTTTTCAACCAAAAATTCATCAATTTCCTCAGTCGAATTTTTATGGTAACTTACATCGTTAAGTGTTGAATAGTTTCGTGAGTATGATTGGTTGGAGTATACTGTAACAAAAGATGCTGCATTTTGTTTCTATTGTTATTTGTTTCAAGATGAAAGAATTAATCAAGGAGGAGGCAATGTATTTTCAACCATAGGGTTTACAAGTTGGAATAAGAAGTGCAACCTTGATGAGCATATTGGTAAGCCAAACAGTGTTCATAATCAATCAAGAGAAATTGTGAAGATTTATTGAGACAAAAACAATCCATTCAAAGTGCATTTGCTAAACAATCTGACCAGCAAAAGTTAGAATACCGTACTCGTTTGGAAGCTGAAATTAATGTGATAAGATATCTTTTGAAGCAAGGATTGTCATTTCGAGGCCATCGTGAAGATGTATCCCCTTATAATAGAGGTAATTATATTGAGCTCCTTACTTGGTATGCGAAGCTATGTGATAATATTGACAATGCATTTAAAAAAGCTCCAAAGAATAATCAACTTCTCCATGTATTCAAAAAGATATTATCAATGCATGTAAGATATAATTGAGGATTTAAATGATGATCACTTTTCCATCTTAGTTGATGAATCTCATGATATTTCATGTAACGAGAAAATGGCTATTGTCTTACGATATGTTGATAGAAGGGAAAGTGTGATGGAACGATTTCTTGGTATTGTTCATATTCGTGATACTACTGCTTTGTCTATAAAGAATGGAATTATTGATTTACTTGGTCAACATCCTTTAAGTCAATCTTATATACGTGGACTTAAATGGGCTAAAAAAATCGATGCAACAAGAAAGTAAAGGTGCTCATATTATTCATTGTTTTGCACATCAACTTCAATTAACTCGTGTTGCAGTTTCTAAAAGATGTGATGAAGTGCAAGAACTTTTGTTATTGGTTTCTGATATACTAAATATGATGGGAGCTTCTTTCAAGCGTAGACATGAACTACGCGAAGCTCAAGCAAAAGAAATTGAAAAGGCATTACGTAAAGATGAACTTGAAACTGGTAAGGGCTTGAACCAAGAAATAGGTCTTGCTAGAGCAGGTGATACTAGATTGGGATCTCATTATAAATCTTTTATCAATTTTATCCTCATGTTTGGTCCTATCACTAATGTACTTGATGCTATTGCTGTTAATTCTCGTTTTGAAGAGAAATGTAGGGCAAAAGGATATCCTATAGCATGTTTAACATTTGATATTGTCTTCATGTTGCATTTCATGTGCATTGTTTTGACAATTACAAATGATCTAAATGCTGCTTTTCAAAAGAAAGAGAAAGACATTGCAAATGCCATGTCACTCGCTGGAGTGGCAAAGAATCGACTGCAACAACTATGGGATGAAGGTTGGGATTCACTTATAAAAGAGGTATCTAAGTTTTGTATCAAATATGATATTTTGATACCTAAATTTGAAGAGTTTTATGTTATACGTGGAAGATCACGTCGTAGAATTGTTGAGTATACTATTTTACATCACTATCGAGTAGAAGTATTTTATAAGATTATTGATTGGCAACGTCAAGAACTCAATAATCTCTTTGATGAGGTGACAACTGATTTGCTTCTGGCTAATTTCTTGCTTGAAACCAGTTGATTCTTTTTCTAACTTTGATATGGAAAAGATATTGAGATTGGCTGAGTTATACCCTGATGATTTTGATAAATACTCTATAGTTGACCTTCGCTTTCAGCTTGAAAATTACATTGTCGATGTTAGAGATCCTGACAAAAATTTCTTCGGTCTTAACGGACTTTCTAATCTTTCCAAGATACTAGTAGAGACGAAGAAGCACATAACTTATCCTCGTGTTTTTTGACTAGTTAAATTTGCTTTACTTTTGCTGGTGGCTACAGCTAGAGTCAAAAGAGCTTTCTCGGCGAAGAAATTGATTAAGACTGATTTACGAAATCGAATGAACGATGAGCTTTTGAGTGGTTGTTTGGTGCCTTATATAGAGAAAAAAATATTTAGTACTATCCCCGATGAGGCTATTATGAACACATTTCAAAATATGAAAGCTCGTCGAGGAGAGTTGTAGTAGTTTACTTGATTTATGTTTTATTAGTACATTTTAAATAATTTTTATTAATTTAATATTTTTATATCGATTATTTATTATTTATTTATTTTTAAATATCGTCAACACTTACAAAAAGATCCTGCTTACACCACTGTGTGTATATACATTTGGAACATGCACCAGTGCTACTTTTTATAACATCACATAGCTTATTGTATATATTTCAAATGGAACTGGGATCAGAGGCAAGTGAGAATCTAACAGACACAGGATATAACAAGGGAACTACTGCAACAAACTGGGAAGTTTGCATAAATGCAAACCTCCAGAATACACACACACATAGAAGGGACAAACAAGAACATCCAAGCTGAAGCTGAAAACTGGCAAGAATTTGGTAGAAATGGAAGAAAAAAGTGTGCTAGAGATACTATGCAAATCATTAAGCAGTGTCTATGAAAATATGTGAAATTGCGAAGACAAACCTGGAGAGCCGCATCACCCACCCTCCATGTATCCACTTGCCATTTGACAAGGCCACCTGCACGGATAATACGTTCCCGCTCCTCAAGACAACTTGCAACATGATCCTATGACAGTACCATATATCAGTGAAAATGCATAGCCTTGTAATTCATCAGAAAGCTAGCTAAGAAAATGAATCATCTTACCCTACTTAGAGCATATGGAATCCCAGATCGACACAGAATTGTTCTGCAATCACCAGCATTAGCAACAATAAGTTTGTTTCTGACGATAAGAGCAGCTATTGCAGTACAACCAGGGTGCCAATCTTTCTGAACTGCTCCCTTGCGTTTGCGAGAAGAATCAAGTTGTGTCCTGAATGCAACATCTGTCTTTATGAATGCTTCAAAAAGCGCATCAGAGGGACTGCAAAGTCATAAACATCCAAGAGTTGAGTGCCTTGACTCTTTGAAAACTTCTTGGTCATTCACAAACAAAAAAATCACAAGTTAAGCATGTAAAACCTGCAAACTGAACCAAGATTCTGCAAAAATCCTGGTAAAGCTCCAGAGGAAAACTCAGCAGCTGCTGAACCTGTAGGCACACTAGTTAAGACGGCCATATTCGAGTGAAAAATGTTTATAATAAGTTTCACTTACGAGAAATAAAATGGCTTCATAGTGACTGGTATACTACCTCGATGACCATCAAAGATTGCAAAGATGTGAATATCCTTTTCATCACACAACTGAGGCATAAGGAAGTGTCTATCTTCCATTGTTTCCCTTCTCCCACATGATGCAAAGGAACCCCAAGACAGAACTGGACTATAGATATGATCATCTGAAGAATCCAGCCATGTGCTAGCAGCAAGGGCAGTAGGAACTCTTTTCATAAAGTCTTTACCTTGACTGAACCAGCTAATATTCTCCTGATAGGTTTGGAAATTTGCAGCATAGACGCCATTTGAAGAAATAAAAGCTTCCCCTGAGGCCTTCTCCATACAGCCCCTTCCAACATCATGTTCCAGAATGAAATCAAGTTCCACGACAATATCATCAAAAGAAGGCCTATTTTGTGGATCTTTATCCCAACATCTTTCTATCAAAGAGACTAAACTTGCTGGAGCGCTGGATTGAATGTCAGCTAGAACGGGTCGTAAGCCTTCAGATACAACGGCTGCAGTAAGTTGCTGCTCAGTGTAGTTCATTTCAAGCACCGTATGGGCCTGCCACACGTAGATATAGGAACCAAAAAGCATCTAAGATATATGACAGACAAAATCAACTGCTTGTGAACTCTTTCCAAATGTAAAAAAAAAAGATGATGCATTCGAAAAACAGTTTCTTGAATTAAAAACCAACTCCCATCTTGTATGTGAAGGAGAAAAACTGCAAGTTCTCTGTCATTTCAAAAGAAGAACCGCATTCTATGAATCTTTATAACCATAAAATTGGTTCTATCTAGTGAGTGTTTGATTTACTTATTTTCAACGGATTTTGGCTTTTAAGCTCTTTTTTAGTTTTGGAAGTGTTTGGGTAAGCAGTTTCTTAAGGCTGAAAAAGTACAAAAATAAGCCAAAAGCCAAAAATTGGGCTTCTCCAACTTATGACTTTCAGCTTTTGACTTATAAGTCACTTAAAAAAGCCATACAAACACCCCCTAGTATAATGATCAGATATACAAGATTAGAAAATGCACAACTAAAATGAGCATGCGTTTGATTGGCTTCAAAAAATTAGTCTATTGTAGCAATAAATATTCATTTAACATCTTCATGAAGAGGAAATGGAAGTTAAAACATATAACCTATTCTTAAGAAAATATCTTTTTCTATAGGATCATCTCATTGGTTCATTTACATTCCTAGTATAGTAGATGCTATGACACATACAAGCATACTTACATTCTTCTTCTTTGACCCTTTCCACTGCTATAATAGCTAATGGATAAACGATTGCAGTTAAAGCAATAGGTAAGACTCACCTTCTTCCCTCATTACTATTACTTGAGTCCTACAGCCCAGAGTGTTCATAAAACTTAACATATATTAGTACATAAATCAAGAACATGTTAGGCTAACGTAGTCAGTTTGTCTATTCCTGTGTAGAACCTATGTAAGGGACAATATTGACAGTTTATATTGAATAGCCACCAGCGTTTTATTGCTCAAAGGGAGTCAAGATTAATGTGTTGACGTGTCATCCCTTTATGGTTTTACAAAAATCATGGTACCCTTTGGGGTGACCCAGTGGTTTAGGCTTGGGACTTTCATGATGGAGGTCTCAGGTTCGAAACCCCTTACCAGCGAAAGCAAGGGATTTGCCTTCTGGGTCGAGCTCGTCGCACCGGGCTTGGCTAGTGTAGGTTACCTCTCCTATGTGGCTTGCCAGCTATTGCATATGAGCAGAGGTTTTACCCTGTCGGCTGCGGGTTCCCCTTGTCATAAAAAAAATGATGGTTTCGCCATTTCAGCACTGTTGTCAGGCAATTCAACATACTTTCAGGTGAAGCAACTCGTTCAGTATTTAAAATACATTCTTTTCATGGCAAGCACATTTTCTTGATCATTTATATTGATAACATTTTCATAATAGAAGATCATGGAAAGATCACCCCAGTTAAACAATATCTCCAGTTATTATAAAACTAAGGATTTTTGGAACTTGAAACATTTTTGAGGCACCGAAAAGGCACAACTCTGTAGTGGTTTTGTCATTTCATAATGAAAATAGCGTCACATATAATGGAAGAAACTGGTATGAGAGACTGCACACCTACTGATACCCCAAATGTTTAACTTGTACCTGGAGAAGGAGCCTCTGAAGGATAGGTTGATACAGGAGACTTGTTAACTAACTCATCTCATAATTACACAAACTGACATCTCATTCAATTTTACTGTGCTAACTCAGTTTCTCCAAGCTCCTTGCAATAGTAAATGGAGTATTGTAATTTGAATTATCAGAGGTCTCCTGGAAGGACGGTTATATGAGAACAATGCACATGTAAAGATTGTTAAGTAATTTCTATGCAAAGTGGCAGGATCTCCTTTACATAGATTATCCACCTCAGTATATTGCATTTAAATGGTGGTAATCTAATATCTTGATAAAGTATGGCCAGATCAAGTGTAAGGCATCTAGTCGTAGATTTCGTCATACGTAAGCTATAGGATCAAACCATTCTATCAAGAATCGCTGAAGGAAAGAATCAATAGCACTGATTTGTAAGCAATCAAACAACATTATATGATAAATTGCCACAATTGTATGCATCAAAAAAATTGATTTCCAAATAGTGAACAGGAAGTGAAAAAACACCAACCTGTGTCTCAGCACGAAGATCAGTGTATGGAACTATGCCAGTAAGAAGTTCACTGCAACATGATAAATCCACAAGCTCTTAGAATGTAGAAATACAAAAATACATTTCAAAAGAAGTTTCAAAAAAAGAGTTAGTCCATGCATGTTTTAGGCTTTTAGCATCAATTACAAATTGAGGACAGTTTAATCCTTGCTACTGCTAGCAGCGCCATCAACGTATTTTCCAACATAGCATCACTAACAAAAGAAAAACGGATATGCCAGTAGATTGGATACAGTCACACAAAACTAGCTCATTATGGGAACAACCTGGTCTTTGTCATGATCCATTAAAAAGAAGATAATAATAGAAAATAAAAGCAATGCTGCTGCGAACTTCGAGCCAAGGATCTAATGAGTAATAGAAAACAGAAGCAATGCTGCTGCAAACATCGAGCCGAAGGTCTAACGAAACAGTCTCTCTACCTTCTCAAGGTAGGGGTAAGGTCTTCATACACTCTACTCTCCCCAGACTACCCGTGGGATTACACTGGGTTTGTTGTTGTTGTCTCTGCAAATAGCAATGTGTCTCAAATTATTATCATGGGACACACAAAAGTTTCTGAAAACCACACTTCCTGAAATAAATTCTGAGGCCTTAAGAGGTCACACAATCCTCTTCTTGCATGAGTAGCCCATACAGAGTTCTTAAATTCTTATCACAATATTGTAAAGGTGGTAAGAGGTATGTCACCTAGAAAAGCTAATATGTTTGTTTCGATAATTAAGACTGAAACACAGGACTTGGTAGTTACCCATGAAACATCTTGCATGAAAAGTCTGAAGAAGTCATTTTCCAAGTTGGGGAAAACAATGCCCAAACCACTTTTTACAACTCAGAAAGCCTTTCTGTGAGCAATATTCTATCTGATAATAATTAGTGCAGTCAAAAAAAAGAAAAGAGAATACACAGTAGCTGATTAACTTGCTTCTACACACAAGAATCTCGACGGATCCATGTGGATGCAGAGATAGGATATCAAGATAATGATTTAAAGTAGCTGACGGCTACAGAAGCTGCATTAATCACTGCATCAACATCATTGAATATTTTCAGCTTGTTACGTAGCCAACTATTTTTGGAAGACAACAAGTTCATATAATTTGCAAAGTTTAGAAGAGCTACATGGTGGACAAGGTAATCAATTCAGCTTTGATAAGCAAGCAGGAGCATCAAATTACCAGAGCTATTATCCATACATTTACCACTCTTTGTGACATATATCAAAAGAGAAATATCTACCTTGCAGCATCACTGAATCAATGATTCTTCAACTAAAGAAACTTTGACGAAGTCAACGCTAAGGCGTTCCATTTAAATTTTCTGGAGCATGTTTTTTTATTTGTCTTGTTAACCGTGGTCTCCAGCCAGCTTGTGCACCTCGACTACTTCCCCGATACTTCTACCTCCCACTAGCAACATGCACCAAGTAACTCTATCCACCAAGGCTAGAACATAGAGGAAATAATCACCTAGGGTTGTTTGGTGTGAAGGATAACACACCAAATAGTCATGGGGATTAAATTATAGTGCCACTTAATTTGTTGTTTGATTGGTATGTCCGGGATAACTTATTCCAGGATTAATAATTAGTACCGTAATAAGTTATCCCTCCCTGGGGTAGTATAGTAATTCTAGCATAACTTATCCAGGATAAAATAGGTAAATGATGAAGATATCCCTTTGAACCTTTTTTTATACACCACTTTTCATATTCATGAAGGATATTTTTTAAAACAAATAACTTGTTCTTAAAATTCATGCATCGTATATTATTTTGAATACAACAAACCAAACACTCAATAAACACTAAACTCAACATAACTTATCCATCATAACTAATCCCAGCATAACTTATTTCATCATAACTTGTATTCAAATCAAACTACTCCGTAGTGTTTTATCTCTGTTGCGATTTGAACCTGAGACCTCGGGATGCTCAACCTACTTCGTTGACCACTAGGTTACACCCTTGGGTACAATTTTCTTGAGCTTTTTTAGCTTCAATTTGTTGTATTTATCCATGTTTATATTCCAGACATCATTACATAGAGAACATTCAGTTCATGTGGGAGTTTTCTGTATGAAGGTTGAGGGTTAATGAATTTACAAGATATCTCTAGACTGTGAATGTCTATTAGTTTCCAGTATTTGTAAGATGACATATGAGACGGTTTAAGGTAGACAAGAACGTGTTTTGGAATGTGAATGGATGAGTTTTCACTTGTTAGGGATGAAATTTTTTTTACCCTATATGGAGCATATATCATGTTTATGCTGATCTTTTCCACTAGAATTTATATAACAATAACAATATACCCAGTGAAATCCCACCAAGTGGGGTCTGGTTAGAGTTTATATACAGCTAAATTATTTATTTGGATTTAGTTCGAAACCCCTTGCCAGCGAAAGCAAAGGGTGTGCCTTGTGGGTCGAGCTCATCGCACCAGGCTTGCCTAGTGCAGGTTAACTCTTTTATGTGGTTTGCGAGCTATTGCATCGGAACTGGGAATTTACCCTGTGCGCACCCAAAGGGTAGCGATTGCGGGTTTCCCTTGTCATCAAAAGAAAAATTATTTATTTGGATTCAATTCATTGAACTTCTTATAGAAATACTCAGCCCTTTGTTCTTCCAGCCTTCTCACCACTCCATATGCATGGAGAAATCACAGCCTGAATTATGACAACAAATCAATGATTCTACGTAGGAAGAAACTTGTTTAGAAGCAAAACAACATTCAAACAGCACATATATACATTGAAATCAGGCATAACAAGTTAGTAGCAGGTATGTGCACTTGCAGAATCACTTCCATTTATTATTGTGATGCAATGCAGCTGGTGACTACAATACTTACTTCACTGTTATTCCAAAGCTATATACATCAGACTTTTCAGTGTGGACCTCTTTCGTCAGCACCTCTGGTGCCATGTAAATAAGTGTACCAACCATATTCCTTTTATGGAAACCTCCAGTAGGCTTGCCAGTCGATTTCCAGTTTTCAGTGGAAACTAGTTTGAGATTTTTTTTGTATTCGGCCAAACCAAAGTCCGCGAGATGTGGTTGTAGCTGTCTATCAAGCTGCAGTATAGCGAAAAAAATTAATGGAAGTCTAGAGATAATTGGGAGAGGGACTCATTTAAAGTGGACAATGATATGCATAAATACTGCAAAAAGAATCAGGGAGATCAAAGACATTACGAGAATGTTTGCTGGTTTCACGTCTCTGTGCACAATCCCAAGGTTATGTAGGTACTGTAAGGCCTTTGCTGTAAAAGGCGAGAGCACTGTAAATTTGCTAACATTGAATTGTTTTGTTTTTATTAACAGAGGAATAAAGGAGAGAAAACAAAGTAGGCTAAACAATTCAATATATTTCCTATGTAGCCAAAAAAGTAGGGTAGCTGATGTGCTTTGATATCAAAAGTGTTAGGAGAAAGAAATAACATTTAAGCAAATCTTGTATGCTTAAAGCCATTTGGAAAGATAGCCAGTTTTAGGGAAAACTTGAGGAAGGAGGAAAAGTGTGGGATATACTTAACTTTAGTAGGAAAAAACATCTTAGCTAGAAGATTACTCTTTCATCTGTAAATGTAACTAGGACTCAACAAGATGTGATGGCATTTCCTGAAACATCCTGGTATTCGCTTCACCTCCTTCAAATTTTCTATTGCACTCGCACCACCAATGATTTTTCTTTCTATATATTTCATCATGGCTAAATAAATTCTCAGTAGTTGATATAAATATTAAACTACAAAATCTCATAGCAGTCCAGGTGTCTAGTAGTGATTCAAGTGCCATCCAATGCCCTTTCTTTCCCTTTTTATTTTTAGTCCATATGTGTTATCTACTATCAATAACAATCTGATATTGTAGTCTTCCAATAGAAGCTTAATTGCTTTTTATTTTTTAATAACCACGGTGTCTGCATCAGCTTAAGCGCACCTCAACTAAATCCATGGGGGCATCAGCTACCTACCACAAGCACATGTCTATCCACCAAATCTTAGACAGATGGAAATAAACCACCAACTGTTCTTTTTTGCCTTGGCTAGGAATTGAATTTGCCATCTCATGGATCTTAACTCGCCTCATTAATGAATATTGGCCTAAGCACACTCAATAGCATAGCATTCTCAATGCAAGTTTCACAAGATTGATCACTTACATGATCCTTCGTGGAAAATGTTATAAGTTCTTTGGAATTACATGACATCATTAACCATATTTGATAGGTTGAACAATTCACACACCGAAAAAAAAAAGAAGTTTGTATTATCCATGTTTACGTGGAAAAAGACAAGCAGCTGAAAAATGCACATGCATAACACACCTAAATGAGCTGCAATTTCAAGTGCCTCTCTGATACTTGGACTCCATTCATCCACGTGTAATTTCCCGGCAAGATTTCCAGACTCATAGTATTCAAAGAAAAACATGTAATTTGGCGGCTTGGCGTGTGCCCCCACTAGCTTTGCTATCCCCCAATGATCCAATGTGCTATATCCAAAAGACATTTTAACAAAACTTAACAAATAAATATATTAACTAACCTCAAATACATAACAATAACTGATGATATTCTTGTAGGGAAACACAACAACAAGAAGTAGGGAGTATCCTCATATGGCTTAAAAGGTAGATATTCTAGTTTTGTCAATTAGAAATTGTAATTTTGTATACAGAAATATACGGAGAAGAGCCAAAAATGACCTCACCTATTTGAAGTAGTACAAGACAATCCTCTGTCCTCCTTTTCGCCCCCCAAATACCCTAGACATCAATATTTTGGCTCAATGATACCCCTGACCTCAATCTTTTGGCTAGAAAATATCCTTATGTCTAATGGTTCACACTCCTAAGGTGGATGGAGGGAAATATTGTACCAAATCTCATAGTTTAGGAGTATATTAGGTCCTTCTCCGTTAAAAGAATTTGAAATTAATCAATATATGGACTTATATGATTGACCTGATTTTGAGTTCCATAGCCCACCCCCTTCATTTCCTCTCTCTTCCACTTTTCTCTTTTGGGATCTTTTCAATCATTTTAAATTTAATTTTCTTAAACTTGTGGCATTCATACAAGAAATAATTTGTTCCAAGAGGTACTATTTGGGGCCAAAAGGTTAACGTCAGGGTATTTGGAGCCGAAAGGTAGACGGAGGATAGTTGAGAGGCATTTCAGGCCATTCTTTGTTTTGATATCGTTCTTTTACTTATCCAAGTGACAGAATTTGCTACTTCCTGTATTTCAAAAAAAAAAGTGTTCTAATTGTTTGTCTCAACTCAGTAACATTGAATACTTAAGCTTCTAACTAGAAGTTACATAATCAAAAACTAATAAAAAAGTACAATAAATACCAATTTTGGTTATAAACTTTTATCTTATAAAAAAAGCAATTGTTTGAGTAACTACATTTCACTTTAGGGACACTCAAAACTTCATTATTTTTTTTAAAATTGTTGGTTTATGAGGTAAATTCAGTAAAAGCAATTTAGCAAACCTAAATCAAAACCCCAATTCACAAACAATTTGCTCATAGGTAAGGACAAAGTAAGAACTACTTACTTTGCTGTTCCATGATATCTACTTTGCTATATAGAAAACACATTTTCATTAATCAAACAAAGTAAGGAAGGAAATTCACCACAATAATTGCAGTTCTTTATGGAATTTATCAATATCTTCAGATGTGGACAAGATGGGTTTTTTAACAGCAACTTTTTTACCATCAAGAATGGCTTCATACACCACACTTTCAGCCCCTGCAACCAAATAAAGATTAGTAAAAAATTGGTACATAGCTGCATGTCTGTAAAGATTTTGAAGTGTAAAATAAATAAGACCTCGAGCAATAGGGTGAGAGAGAGAATAAGAAGGAGGAGGGAGATGAATGGGGATTCTTCGGCTGGTACAACACCCACGAATGCAGGTGTTAGGTTCCAAGATTTCCAGGCCCATGTTCAACAATTCACTGCCTTCTCTTCCTCGTGAAATTGTGTAAGAAATGGGTAGCTGAACAAGTGATCAGATTCTTCACTTGAATGTGGACCTGGTGACCCAATTGGAGGACCTTTCCGAGGTGGGAAAACAACTTCGTCCACCATTGGCCCACCATACACATTTTTTGCCACATAATTCATTTTGATAAAATATATTTTTGAAAAATGAGATAAATTATTAAAAATACACCTAAATTATCTTTTTTTTTTTTGTTTCATGCCTAAATTAATTTTTTTTTTAGTTTGAGAAACACACCTCAGTGATGACCGTAATGACTCTCTCTTTTATTTGAAAAAAATCTTGACACATGACATTCTACATGAGTAAAATATTTCACCTTGATAAAAATTAAATAATAAACTATTAATATTAATTAAATATTAAAGTATTACTATCATTAAAAAATAATTTTTAATATTAAAATTTGAATTATTATTAACTCACTCCATCACCTCCTCCACGTAACACCCCACTTAAAAAAATTGAAATATTATTTTATTTTTAAAAATTAAAAGTTCTACAGCATCATATTTTACCCTCTACTCCTATTTTTTTTTTTTACATTTTTCTCATTTTTTGTTAGATATGTACGTACATATATTTTTTGGATAAAAAAATTTATACTAGTGTACGAATATAACATAAATAAATAAAAAATAAAAACATCTCGCGACGGCAAGTAAAATATATTTTCAATATGTATATATGTAACACAAAATGAGAAAAAAATTGCAAGCGAAAGATTAGGTGAGGTGCGTAGAATTATTTTTTCAAAATTAAAATAATATCTAAATTAGTATTTGTGTGTGTGTGTGGGGGGGGGGATGAAGTGGTATAAAAGAGAGAGGTGTGTTTCTCAAACTAAAAAGTAATAGTTTAGGTATGAAACTCACACTCTCAATAGTTTAGGTATGAAATAAAAAAAATGAGATAATTTAGGTATGTTTTTGATGCTTATCTCTTTATTATTTGGAAAGAGTTGTCCGTTGGTATATAAATCAAAAGCAAATCAATACAATATTTGAAATAGGAGTTGTTTAATATTACTAATTGAAAAGACAAATATATGACAACATGATGTTTGTGATCATAATTGAATGTATTATTGGTTGATATATCTGTGATTTTTTTTTATTTTTGTATTTTGAACAATTTATAAAATTTCACGCATATCAAAATACAACTTAATATATTTATGTGTAAAACCTAGATGATTTATTCAATTTTTCTATTATTTACCATCTTTGCAGATAGTCCAAGCCTCTTGGTCCGAGGAAGGGGAACCCCATCGTGCTGGCTTGGCATGGAAGGAGGGCTACCCAAAAAGTCTTTTTCGCAGTTTTAAGAGTATATGGTCTACATTTTTTTAAAAAAAAAATGAAAATTGATGCTTCTTGAGTAATCAATTTATTGAGATGACAATTATTTACTCACTATAACATCTCAAATTTTGAAAAGGGAAAAGGTTGAATAAATTGTAGCTACTGGTTCAGGTCTAGAAGACCAGTCTATGGGTCGTAGAAATTTCTATTGGTCGTAGACCAGTCTCGTAGAAATGGGAGAATAATTTTTGAAAAATCAAGTTCTAGTATCTCATCCTACGGTTGACCAGGACGGTCTGTCTAATGATCTATGGGTCGTAGATAGGTTCCTTATAAGCAATCTTGACTTACTAAAATTTTGGGTTTAAGGTTGAGTTCTACGAGTAGGGTCAACGAACCGTAGAAAGAAATCCAAAGTATACCCTAGTAGTAACATGGCGTATAAAATTTTGAAAGTCCCTACACAAACCACTTAGTATACACCATACCAAATAATGGAACTAAAGATTTCAAATGAAACAGACTTATATTATAAAAGAGTTTGACAAAGTGAGAGCCTAACATAAGTCTCAACTATCAATATGCTAACTCAAAGGAAGCGGTTGGAATGTAACCCATCCACTACGTACAAATGTCTGAAAACTAGAACGATAGAAAGCTATAAAAGTGTCTCGGCCCTCAAAACTTGAGAATTCAACAATCTTTAAATATTAAATGGATCAATTAGCCACGAGTATGAGAGGTAGGAGCATCGAACCCTACATTATGAAACAATGCAGGCATAAGTAGTATGCATTAGTACATGTAATGTACTAAGTATGATAGCAATGGGTAAGAGTTATAAAATCATGTTAAAAGGAGACTTTACATGACATGCAATGACCAAGCTAAATCATAAGATAAAATGTAGAAAACATAAATCATAATCATACTCAATGCAAGTTTAGCATCTTCAAAATAATTTCTGAGATCTTTAAAAGTAACCTTAGTTCATTATTGTGAGAACTAACCGGCATAAACCATAAGAGTTATAACATGGAATCCAGTGTACTATTCTCACACTAAAAATCCTACTTGCCAAGGTAAAGACTATGAATATGAAGTAAGGTGGATCCCCTAACTAATATCTATTTGAGACCACATCCTATGTTGGCACATAGTCAGGGACAATGAGATTGCTACTAGAAACTGGACCTCTACAATGGAAGAGTCTCCATCTCAATGTCCTCTTGGTGCTACGTAAAATCTCATAGAATCGTCATTAATCATATTCATATTATGATCCATGGAAATGATAATTAGGTTAACTAATTCAAACTAGAAACAACATACAGTAGCTTGATTAACATTTCAATGACACCTCATTTAATTCTAAGTATCGACAATCATTAGTCACTATAATAACCCAACTAATTGAGTTGGGATCATTCCTACAAAGAATAGTGTTCTTAGAATTCAAATACGAATGGATATCGAGGACACTTGCAGCTGCAATATAAAACACTTCAAGAGTTTCACAAACGAATTTCAACATATCGTTAGTTTGTTATTGATCCACTTCAGTTTATCAACAAGAAACAAATAGATAATTCGGGAACACTTGGGGGATTGAGTAATCAATTGTTGAATTCAACTAAATGGGTGTAAATCATTACCGATAATGCTAATCGTTGTGGGTAGAATGAGCTCTACGTAAAATAACTTTATCTTGAACAATTGTCTTATTTCGATTGAGTTCTGTCGAACCTCAACACCTTTCACGAGCTAAGCAACCCGTGTTCTCATCAAATCCTCTCTCTCAAGCTATATACAAAGGCTGTGTATTGGGTTTCACTTTCTCAAGCTAAAACCATCAAGACCCACTACTAAGGATACCAAAATACTATGTCGATTCTATATTTCTCTCTCGAGCAAGCACAAAACTCTGAACTGTATCACATCTAAGATGCAATAATGAGATTAAACCACCATAATAATGTAGACCTACTTTAGATTAATACCATAAATCACTAATTTCTCACACCTAATTAATGAGAATGCAACAATTGGTCACATACAAACCACTAAGGTAAGGGTTTTAGCCAATCATGATGAAAAGATGAAAATCGGCACCAGCCACATTTACTATAGATGACTAAGTTAAATTCAAGAGTAAAAACTACTAGAACTTTTTTTATTACAACAATGCGATAAAAAATCTCTTCAAAATCTCTTAAAATCCACAATGATAGTGTTTTTCTTCTCAATCTCCTGTTACCTCCTTTATCAATGCCTTATCTCACTTCCAAAAGTCCATTTATGCAAGTCTGATGTGTGATTGTCTAGTATCATTCACGAGGTAAGACGAGCTTCGCCGACCATTGGGCGATCCACCAATTTTCCCTTATCTCGTATTCATTTCTCACCTCATCACTATCATTTTAGGCGAGCAAGGTCGGGATCGCCGAGTGATTTCGCGAAATGCCACTTTTCCCTCCTTATCACTTATCAACATTTGTTTGGATCTTCATCAGGACTTTTGCCAACTTCTTTTTCCCTTGCCAAAATGATCGACAATTCGCCGAGGGGGACTGATGCTCACCGAATTACCCCCTACTTCAACTCCAATATTCTGTAACTTTTGACGGTAGAGTGGTACTTTGGTGAGTCACCGAATGACGTTGGCGATCAACATGCCTTCTTTTCTTCGTTCTTTCAATTTTCTTGTTCCTCTTTTTTCTTATTAGTGTTTATGCCTTGTTTCTCAATACAAATACCTAAAAAAATTTCATGGATTTACATCAGTTATTGGCACAAAATATGCATTTGAAGACACTGAATCTATCCAAATAAACTTCTAAATGAGTCCAAATCGTGGACCCATTAACACCCCTAACTTAAACGTTTGCTTGTCTTCAAGTAAAACTGAAGTTCAACAACTCAAAAAGGATGTCATAAAAGTGCTACATAAGACTCAATCATGAATGCACACAAATAGACTCAATTTACTCATGCAAGGATCAATTGTGCACTTAAAGATTCAAGTTGTCACTCACCATTATCAAAGATTCTCAATTTCATAATACTTGCTTCAAATTCAAGTTCAAGCTCAAAAAAGGTACTCAAATGCCCTCACACAAAGAATGATTCATTATTCACACACAATGGTTCAACAATTTATAGTTCCGAAATCACAATCAACACTCACTCACACTCACAAAGATAAACACATGCATGACTCTACTCATAATTTTGCCCTTATTTTTCAATCAACACTTGTTTCAACTCACTCAAGATCAAAAAGGTCTATCAAGGCTTGTAACGAGGTTGAGTGTAAATATGTTCAAAAGGCACAATAACTTCTATCCTCATAAATGTGGTGTGAGCAACATTTTCTTTCCTTTTCTTCATCATTCTCATTTGTGCTCATAAGTCAACCCATTATTCGCTTTCCATGAAAT